GCCTCTAAAAGTTTTTCCCATTTCCATTTATAGTAAATATTAATAGTAACTTTCCCTTCTCTCCTACTTTTTACTCAATTTCCACTCTTTCCACATGGGGTGTGGCCTACCTTCCTTAAAATTTGTGCAAAATCTAATTTGTCCACGAAGTACATTCCTACTTTTTACCGTATCCCGTTCTTTCCACTTATGATGGTCTAAATTCCTTTAAATTTGCGCAAAACCGATGTCAATGACTTTCCTACTTTTTTTTTTACTTTTCCCGTCTCTTTCCACTTGGGGTGGTCTAAATTCCTAAATATTTGTGCAAACCTTAATGTCGAAAAACAAGGAAGACAGGAGTGGATTCATATACTACGTATTTCATTTCAAATAATGTTTCATATAAGGCTTCCCCAAGTGCATAATCAGATCTTGCAATAGAATTCCCTTAAGAGGAGAACAGCCCACCCATTTTCGTCACATTCAAATCCACAGGACCATATGGGACAAATATATGCAGAAGTAGAAATATACCTATTGTCCTAAGGAGTATCTAATGTAAGAATTGTGGTGTGATTCAAAAAACGTTCACATTAGTCATACTTATTTACTCGGGACAATACACAGGATTTGATATTACCATGCAGTTTCAGCTGTTATCTCAAATATTGATGAATCTCTACTATAAAAACAATTGTCAAATAGAACTTTTTTTATGGAAGATTAAATACATTATGGCCTAAATCACAATGCGATCACCTCAATGAAGTTAATGAAAAATCGAAATAATTTTAGGGTCATAATAATACAGAATAGCTTCAGATAATTCGGCCGCTCACCTAGAATGCGGCTGAGCCTCTCCACATCACTATCGGAAGGGACGGTGCCGGGGCCTTTGAACACTTGGTGGCACATCATAAACAACCGCTGCAACTGCAAACTTTCAGGAACCGTCCTGGGCTTCACATCACAAGGCTTTTTAGCCGCTTTCGTATTCCTGCATCTCTTCTTCAGTATACCGCCCTTACCGACACCAGTGTTGACGTGCCTCACCGGAGAGGCCGCCGCTTCTCCGGCCGGTTCCAGCAGCCCTCCAACAGCCTCCACCGCCGTCATATGAAGCTCCGCGCGTCTGATGTAAAAGGTGCTCTCGAGATTGTCGTCCAATAGATGAAGCGGCGAGAGATCTGAGAAGATAAGGATGGGGCCGTACAGGAATGCCTGTTTGTATATATATCCGAGATGGTGGATGAAGAAGAAAGGCAAAACCAGGGGCCATGGAGAGAGAATCAATTCTCTTGTTTCTGGTAATTCTTTTTTATTTCTAATTTAAATTTCGCTTCTTTTTATTTTTATTTGAATTTTTTCTGGATCAGATTTCTCTGAATCCTTCTTTATTTAAAATCTACCGCCCGCAAGATTGCGAAGACAAATTGGAAAACTGCGAGTAGTTTGGGCATTTTGCTCTTACTATTCCTTGCACTTCCCTGGTCCACTGCAAAAACTGTGGGTTATTTCGGTTAGGTAATTCCATTTTGGGTGTAACTAAAATTACTAGAAGCCTTTAATTTACGTGGACTCGGTAATCGGTATAATCATACTTCACTTTTCACGGTTGTAGCTTTTAATTTATTTTTTCCTTAAAACGTTACGATTCATTTCAAGTACACATGAGTTTATACATTTCATTTCCCATTTTACTAGTTTAAGATAATAAATGTGAATTTTATAAAAGTGAGATATTTTAGAATTGTAAGTGATGATACAGTATTGTAGTTGCTGGTTTCTTTCTAAAAATGAGACAATTAATTTGATACATCACAAAAAGAAAAGTAGGACAAATAAATTGATACGGAAGAATATTATTTTAGGTTTAAAGATTAAAATAATAAGGGAAATGAACGTTTGTGGATATAGAAAAAAATAAAAAACTACTACGTATAAAGTATTACTCGAATAATCTTCCGGTCAATTTTTTTTATCGGAACATTGTAAGGCCACCTTTATTTGAAGTACTTTCAAGGGCAATTTATTATGATATTTTGTGAGCATATTTTTCATGAGTGTGATTTATGTCTATCAAAATTTAGATTAAAACTCAATCGGTAAGTTAGTCAAACAAATTATTGAAAAATACTACATCAAAATATATTTAAAAATGAAAAAAATTCAATAACTTATTTTACTCACTCCCCAACTGAAAGTCAAGTTAAATTTGATGGGCATATAATTTAAAAAGTATTTCATAGAGACCATGCTCATAAAATTAAAGCAAAAAAAAAAAAAAACCACCGGAAGCATCTCAAATGGAGGTGGCCAGATGATATTCGGGTCAACAAAATTTTGACGAAAATATTTTTGCGAGTCCATATACTACAATATAACAACACCGATTTAATGCAACACAACTCACCACTCGAGCGATTTTATTAAAAGAGGACTGAAGGGATCGACAAAAAAATGATGAATCTATATTTTTCTTCCTTACTAACTGTATTTTACTGATATATTAATATATATGATGTATAACATTAACATATAATACTAATAATTTTTCAAAAAACTCGGGGCCCATAAATCGGAACCCTACTTTGTAGAACTTATATTCAACCTCCTAAAAATCGCGTCCGACTAAAACAAACACTCTATAACTTATAGAAAAAACAACAACAATGCTTGATGTGCCCACTCTATGAATCCGGTCCACAGACATTATTTTATTTGTGCAAAATACTGTATGTGAATCGGGGTTCACAGACAAAAAAACATTTCACAAACATAGGTGAGTACAAATAACGTAGATATAATGTTGGAGAAAATTGGCCGAATATACCTGCAAAAAACGTTAGAAAATAATATAGCTCGAGTCACGTAAACGCTGTCCTCAAAAAAGTATTTCCGACTAGCGAAAACCTTTCCCCAAGATAAAACGAGCTCTTCGGCTTACGCCGGTAACAGAACAACGAGAGTATAAAATATTAATCCAGCAGAGTAAGTTTTCAAACAATTGTGAAGATCGATCATATTATCCCATGATCGAGTATACTCGTATATATAATACACACACTAGCCCCGGACATTCATTCCCAGCCAGGTAAATAATGTCTTTGTATTAAACAGGGTTAACATTACTAAATTAATAGGCTCCAACGATAGAATTCTAGCTTCAAAGTAAATGCCTAAGCGTTTCTAATGATTCGCACATCATGGAGGCTCATTAAAGATTAAAATAATTAATAATATATAAACACTATTAAAAACCATTTAGAAAGTAACGGTTTTCAAATTTGCAGCAAGCTAGATATAATCCTACCTATTATTATTAGTATAATAACAATTACTATGTAATCCGTATAATTTAATAATAGTGATTCCAACATGCAGTCACTATAAAAGCTCCGTATACATAATAATTTAATAGTAATGTACTAATGTATATTTTATTAGTAAGCTTTAATTAAATTAAAAAGTTATCAAAGTAATAATATAGAACATATTCATTTGAAATACTTTTATTTTTCCAACATATAAGAGTGAGTAAAAACATAATTTTTGAAAAAACAAATACTCGGTATAACACAAACGCTAACTTCACAAAATAACTACGTACCCGATGTTTTCAATTTTCATATATAATTACTAATTAGACTATCGAAAGTCAACCATTGTAAGGCTTATTAGGAAGAGTTGATAAGATTTTGAAAATTCATAAATTCAAAAAATAAGAAGCTCATAAACAAAAGTTTAACAGGTAGTAAGTATCAAAATCTACACATAATTAGAACAGTATACACAAAAAATATTCTGGAAATTTAAAAATTCATGATAAATATAAGTTTAATGAAGGTAATTATACAAATAATATGGAACATACATAATATGAAAATTGAAATTCAAAAATATATCCATAAAATACAAACTCTTTATTTATTACGTTTCAATTTTTGTACTTTATCCGTTTGTTTTTTCTTTACCTTCGCTTTTATCATTTCTTTCAAACTTTTTCACTTAATTGCTAGGGCTGGCAATATCACCCGCACCCGCAGATACCCGGTCAATCCGAACCGAAAATATGGATGAAAACCCGAAGAAGTATGGATGAAAAATGGATGACGGGTGGATCGAAAGACGGGATGGATCGGGTGTGGATGAAGGCTCATCCAACCCATTACCCGGCCCGTCACCCGTTCCATACACCCACTCGCTGACCCGCATATAAGTATATAATATATAATATATATTATATCTATTTAATAATATATAATAATAATAATAGTTAATTGGTGAAACAAAGATAATTGGAGAGCTTTGTTTTGTGCCGCTGCATAAATGCAGTTAAATAATGATGGCAATTAAATAGCAAAAATAGTTTTGTGCCGATGCATAAATGCATAATTTAACAACTTGAAGAAGTTTTATGTCTATTTTGTTTAACATTCAGTTTTTTCTTTATCATCGATTATTCATCGGTAGTGAATTAATGATTGTAATTTACTTAATTGCTCCTGTTTTTGTTGTTATTTTACAATGAATTCTTAATTTTTGGTTTTTAATTGTCATGATTTCTCTTTGTAATTTATTTATTTGGTCTCAAGTTTGACCATTTATATTTCACCCGCTACTCACCCAATCCACCCGATAACCCGTTCAAGATGGACGGGTTGGATGTGGATGTAATTTTTAATGGATGATGGACGGGTGGGTGGAGTATAAACAATTAACGGCTGGACGTGGATGAGCCTCCACCCGGTGAAAATCCGACCCGCTGCCACCCCTATTAATTGCTTTATTTTAAACATTTTTACGCTATTCCCTACGTGTATTTTTTTCGTCATCTACAATATATAGAACGAGTTTGCCGTCAGGTAATTATAAATAGTACAAAAATGCTTTTTGTGGACGTCGGCTCTCACACATTTTGCACGTCAAAGTCTATTTTATCTGTGCATAGATAATTGATGTTCATTTTAGTAAATGCAACTATATATGATCTTGAAAAAGTGAATTGTTTATGCAAAGACAATTTGGGGTCACAAACCCCTTTATCAAAATAAAAATCAATGGAGGGGAAAAGTTGAGAGCTGCTTCTCTCCTGGGTTACGCGACCCGGTTCTTTTTCCCGTAAACTTCCATGGGTATTGCGCTTGATTCTTGGAATTTGATGTTTGGTGTTTGTTGATTGTTGCTGTTTCGTGATCGTAATCCATCTTTAACCTGGATTTGAGCTTGGAAGGTCGGTTTATGCAAAAAAAACCATAACACTAATCGCGAAAACACTGTTCACGGTTCTTCTTCTCTCGTCGATACCTGGAATTGCAGCTCGATTCTGAAACCTGAGACTGGATTGGGACTCGGGAGCTTCTCGTCGCTACTCCCCATCCGTTTTCAGGCGCACCTGGGTCGTGTCGCTAACCTGATTTGGAGCTTTGCTGACTATGGAGACTGAAACATAGCACCATCTGTGACGGACGATTCTACAGAGAAGGTGATAAGTTACTGTTCACAGCACCTTTTGTGACTTGTGATGGCTAGGAAGAAGATGGAATCTGGAGAATCCTCCTCAGTCAGAACAACTAGGTCCTCCTCCAGGTTTTTTGTGTTGGAGGATAATGCTGATGAATTCCCGGCCCTGATCTCCGGGGATTTAAGACCACAAACGCCTGCTACTAAGGTGGTGGAATCAATTGCTACCAAAGGGACTGCTGGGAAGAGTCTGAACACTGTGAAACTAGTAACTCCTATTGCAGGTACAACTGGTGCTGGGCAATTGACAGTTATAACAATGGCAGAGACTTCTAATGAAGGATTGAAGAATCCTGGGAAGGCTGTGAAAAACCAAAAAACTGGTGCTGGGCAGATTCAACAAGCCCCTGAAGAAGCTGATATGGGTAATAAACCATGGAATGCACTCTTTAAGGATAATCGTGCACCATCCCATGGGATTAAACTGAGATATATTCCTCCAAAAGGTAATATTTTGGATCTCACTGATAGGGTTATGCCTACAATGGTGGAGATGTGGGGACACTGTTTAGTTGGGTTCTTCACGGGTCGGTTTCCTGGGCTTAAAGCTGTCCATGAGTTAAGAGAAAAATGGGGGGTAAAATGCTTGGTTAGGTCCCATGATAAGGGCTGGATTATCTTTAAATTTCAAAACGAGGCTGATAGATTGAAAGTGCTAAATGAGGGACCATACTCGATTTTTGGGAAACTACTGATGTTGAAGATGTTGTCGGAGGATTTCTCATTTGAGGATGAAGAATTCCTCAAAGTGCCGATTTGGGTTAAATTCCCAAACTTACCAATGAGTCTATGGAATGAGGGGGTTATGAGTGAGGTAGCTTCTATGATAGGGGTTCCGTTATCTACGGACAAGGTCACCCAAGAAAGAACCAACCACAACTATGCTAGAGTGCTCATTGAAGTTGATGTGTCAAAGCCACCCCCATTGTCCTTTCCTATACGATTACCTTCACATAAGGTAATTAAACAATGGGTGAGATACGAGACATTTCCTAACTACTGCTTCCACTGCAAAGAATATGGGCACCACCCATTTATTTGTAAAAAGCTGGCTGAAAAAGAGATGAAGGAAAAGAATGATAAGGAAAAGAATGATATCGTTGTTGTTAGGGAGGATGAACTGAAAATACAAGGTGAGGAAGTGGGTGTGAAGGAAATGGAGGGTCAAGGGAAGAGCATTGTTACTGTTCTGGAGCCTGCTATTATGGCTGAGGAGAAGATTATGCCGGAGGCTGCTGTACTGGAAGAGACTGAAAGTGAGAGTTCAGGATATGGGTCGTTTGAGACCGACAATGGATCGGGGGAGGAGGACCTAGACCAGACAGATACTGCGAACTTTGATGAAGTCTATATGGATGGTAAGGTTTTTATGATTAGGAAAGATGCTAATGTGAACAGAAATAGAATGACAAGGAGAATTCCAGGTTTAAGTTGGGAGGAAACATTTGCTAAAAACAAAATGGCTCTTCCAAATCTTTTTAAGAGTAAGAAGAAAAGGAAAAAACGGTTGACTGGAAGGAAATAACCTTCTGGTTCGTTCAGTGATGGTTGCGATGCACTACTGCTTTGTTTGGATTTGGAGAACAATTGTGGAATTGGGGAAGGGTGTGTGCATTTCTGCTGTAACCGCAGATTTACTGCCACTGGGCAGTAGACGATTTCTATTTGAGTTTATTACTAGGTAGGCTAATGGTTGAGGTTATATAATTTTTGATGCTGCAGTGTCTTCTTGGATGGGGAAACTATGGATTCCTTAGATGGACTGGACTTTTATTTAATTAGTGATTTGTGAAATGGGGTTTGTCCCATTATCTTGATGCATTATATCTAGATTAGTTTATTCTAGCTTAGATAGTCATTTTGATTTGGATTGATGCATTGTAAAATGCTACTTTTTTTCGGTATCTAATATACTTACATATTACCAAAAAAAAAATAAAAATCAATTTTCACTGAAATTTCACTTCTTTTTTTAATTTTTCTAATTTATTTTTCCCGGTTGTGTTAACAAGTTATGATTTGGTATTATTTTCCTTTATTCAATTTTACATTTTCTATTTTCAAAATGTAAGATGTGACTAAAAATTTTATGATTGAAAGATTTATTATAGTTTTTTTCATGAAAATATATTTTATTAATTTTTATGCTATGTTAATTATAAATTTAAATTCTCTATTTTATCCATTTCAGTATTTGTAATTTCTTTCTATTTTCTTTATTTTATATAAATTATAAAATATAGTTTATCGTTAAATTTTAGTAATATGGGTCATATGTTTTGGAGGTTTTGGCTATTTTTAATGAAAATGTATTAATATTGTAATTTTATGTGATCTAATGGAAATTGTAAAATATGTAGAAAATATGTATCACTTCAAATTAAAATATTAATATATTTTCATTAACATAGCCAAAACCTCCAAACCTATGTCCCAAATCACTAGAATTCAATGATAAACTATATCATATAATTTATTGAATATAATGACATATATCATATAATTTACTGAAAAAAGAGAATTTTGATTTTAACAATTAAGATATCATAAAAATTTAATAAAATAGATTTTAATAAAAAAAATCTAGAATAAAGATTTAAATCATATTTTTTAATCACAATATGCTTTTTGAAAACATAAAAGGTAAAATTGATTAAAGGAAAATAATACAAAATCATGACTTGTATATAAATAAAATTAGAAAAAAGAAAAAAATGAGAGTTTTAGTAAAAAAAAAATGGCTCAAATATTTTTATTTAGTTTCAATACATTTGTAGGACTTTCATCATTATTACTACGTATTACATATTTAAAAATATTTAAAATGGGAATTCATAAAAGTATTTTTATATATATTTTTTTTAAAATTGAGAGTTGATAATTGGGATTAATAAAAGAAGATTGACTATAGTTGAAATTATTTATAGCTTATACATAGTTCGCATTTAAATTTGACCTGCTATATCAGGTTGGAACATGTTAGGGACTATTTTTGGAAAATGGTCCCCATAGTTGGGACCACTCATTAATAATCAATAGTTAGAGTTATTAATAGCGGATCGCCAATAGTTAAGATTATTGTTTTCAATTTTTCCAAATAATTACATATATATATATGACTAAAATAAAGATTGCTTCCTTGCCAAATAAAAATAAAAATTGCTTGCAAAAATGTGACTAATGACTAGAATAGTAATGAAGTCATAATAACATATGTTCAATTTTTAAACTTAAGTTATCAGGACACTACATTGAAGTAACTATTAGTCATATGTGTGTAAATAAGTTTTATTTTAACAATATTTTTGAAAAAACCACCGAGTCATTCTTGATGTAAACAAAATGTGTACATTGTCCGTGTACACATGCAATTAGGGTTTTTTTTTGCATCAAACCATGTTCTTTATTAAATAAATTGACTCCATACACATTCAACTAGGGGAATTTTGTATACATTTTGTTTACATTATACTAAAAAAATTCTTATAATTACTGCGTACAAGAATTGGTAGTATCAGTCAAAATTAAATTTCACCAAATTGTTAACACTATTTAAACAAAAACCAGGCATCGGATCTGGGTGAAAATGCAAAATAGATCCCAATTCCCAACTCAAGAACTTGTAATAAAAAGACAAAGGGACCAATTCACTTTTTTATGTATGATCTAATTTCTATAAAAATCAAGTCTAATAATTAATTTTTCATCATTGATACAAATATTACATACTACCTCTATCCCAATTCCCAAAGTGTTTTGCAAAATCAACATTTTTTTATCAGCCAATGTTAAAATTAAATCACTCTTATTGACAATTAATTCAATTTTAATATATAAAATTTAAATGTGCATAACCTACATTAGAATCTCTATGAAGCTGTAAAATCCAAATTAAAATTTAATTAAGAATTGATATCCTAATTAAGTGAATAAAATGAATTTATTTGACTCAAAAAGCCAATTTTGCAACTCAATTTACGATGGAGGGAGTATAAAGAAATTGAAAAAATCTATTTTTAAATATTTCATTTTTAGGCGGAGGGAGTATTATTTTCTTTTATCTTTTAGATCATATCCATATACGCTAAAGCACCAACGAACCTAGTTTATTTTGCGAGCAGCATCTTGTTCATCCCTTTATAATCAATTAATGCACACTTTCATTCATGTTCAACTTTTTTAATGTTCCCCAACAGGCACTATTATTGCCAATGTTCATGATGTGATAACATATACTGTAGTATGAAACATTCAAATAACAGTAGTAGTTCGAGAAAATCTCCCGTTTCGGTGTATCTTCAACTTAGCAGCAGGGAGCTTCCGGGAAATGGCCTGCCAAATCATCTGGACAGCATCATTTGTCTTAGAAGGGTACTGATACTCAAAAAACGTTTCGACCTCCTTCAGCTTAAGCCACATTCTAGTCCACTCTTCCTTTCCTATACTTCTAATGAAGTTAACCAGGAAGTTCTTCTTGAGGGCATCTGCTGTGCGGACAAACACACAGAAGGACGAATAGTCGAGAACGTCTTCATATGGAAGCTCTATGTCATCACTAATGATGACAGGAACACAATGACTGGCGATGGCATCAAAGAGGCGGTTTGATGAGGGAGTGTCTCCAGCTATGTTGAGGCAAAATTTGGAGGTTTGCATCCCACGCGTGGCTTGACTTATCCCATTCTTTTGAACGCTTCCGAATGAGAAGTGTACATCTTTCTCATCTTTTAGCAGATAGAACAGCTCCTGCCTAACAAACCCCCCCTGAAATGTCCAAACCGTCCGTGTATGGAGTTTTGTGTTAGAAAGCAAAACGAGAAAGATGAGAGGTGTAGAATAATAAAATACTTCCTCCATCCCGATTACTTATCGCTGTAGTATCTTCATTTTCTTTTAATTTCGAATCACAGGGTTTTAGTTACTACTACATAATATGCAATTTATGCTCATTGAAACGTCTAAATCATTCTGGACAGGCAAAGTAGAACAGAGGAAGTACTACTTTGTTGATACAAGTTCATCATTTCTAGAGAAACCCAAGTCGGTGGGAATATAGAACCTAACCTTGAACTAAAAGGAACAGGAAACAAAATAATACTCCCCCCGCCCCCAATGATTGTCCCATATTTCCTTTTGCATCCATCCCACTAAGTTTATTTCATACCATATTTAGTAATATTTGTGTGGTTCTAATTCATTCTTAGTGTATTCACACTTTACCAATTTAATATCAATCACAAAACTCTACTTTTTAAAAACCGCACCTTTCCCTCTTGTCCCAATCTTAGGAGGGACGGAGGTACTACTACTACTACTTAAACTATGAGAACTATATTACTACTATTTCTATATTTTAATAGGAAAGATAAGCATCCCTCACTTTTGCCTAAGCAGGTAAGAAACTTACCTGACTCGTTTTCTTTTTTAGGTTGTTCCATATTACACAAAATCAACTTACCCATTAAATAAAATTCTAGTCACTCAAATTAAATCTCCACCACATGAAAAGTATTTTCTCTCACCTCTACAAATGCTTTCTTAAAACTGCATATAACCCAACTAAGACGAGTGAATAGGAAGGAACCGAGTATCTTTTAATATAAGAATCTTGTGGTTATGATTAGGGTTGCCAAAGAGGCCGGTTAAATATTACTCCCTCCATCCTTAAGTTATCTCCTGAAGTACAAATAGCACGGGGATTAAGATAGTGAGTATTGTGTGGTGGAGAGTTGTGCAGAGGAGAGAGAAATGTGAAATAATGTGTAAGAAACTAAGAAATGCTGTGAATCACCAATTATATGCCGAAAAGGGAAAGAGGAGATAATTTTGGGACGGACGAAAAAGGAAAGTTTGAAGATAATATTAGGACGGAGGGAGTATAATACAAGTTACAACACACACGCCTCTTAAAGCTACAAAACTAGCATTTGCAGATTTAGTTCCTTCAAAATTCATTCATAACACTCACACTACTTTTTTATACAACGGAAAATATAAGACTAGCGCTATACACATTGGTCTTTCATGGACTTTGTAATAAGTAGTAATGTTGCCCCCGTTAAATCGGTGCACCATTAGAGGTGACCATTCAACTGGGTGCTCCATAAAAAGCACAAAGAGAAAAACTAGTGTTGTGTATCAACAAAGGCAGATCAAGTCTCCAATTATTTCCAAAAGGTATGTCTTCCCAACCTGAATGTCAAGTTTCACTTCCAAAAACCCATTTCTTGAAACTGTAAACAAGGTTATTACCAGCGATCTAAAAGACACTGTAAACCTATCCAACATACCCCAATCAACTGAAACCCCATGAGGCTACGCACAATGAGATAGAAGGAAAATTGATTTGGCTAAGGAAATAATGCAACACAAGCCTCACTTTGTAGCTTAATCCTGTACCTTAGCTTCCTTACTTTTCTCAAGCAAGGCATTAACCTGCCTCTTTGATCTCATTATCAGCTCAAAACACATATCCTTGAGCCTTCATATAAGCCTCCAAACCATTATCTTGTATCCACAGGATGAATTTCAATCATTTACAGTACTAATTCTTTTCTAAAGGGTAAAATGCATAAATGGATGGTACTATTGGTATTGATGCATTTATGTGTCCAAGTCCAACTGTTGAATGAATTGAATTAATATTCTATGTACAAGTGTACAATTAATTGTTGTAGGATTGCACTATTTGAAATTCCAGTAAAAATAAAGTAGTTTTGTAGAGTTGACTCATGTGCATCCCACAAAGAATTATGTGTCATTGATTAATCTGCCGAGTTTATGAGGCCATCATGATTCAAGAACAACTCTGATCTGTTGCAGCGACTAGATTAGCTACACATCTGGTTTCTTTCTCGAATACTACCATTCTGTTAAGTGTTGATAGCACTGATTATGTGGACTAACGTATTAGTTATTACATAAAATGGAATTTAACTTGCAA